GAGTGAATCTATAAAGGTGTGCCTCTTAGCAACTCTTAGGTATTCATTGTCTGTCTGGTATTTGCTGCAAGAGGTCATGTCCACAAAATACATATTATTCCACAATTAAGAGAAGTAACTTCATTTCTTGTCACCCAGGCTGTAGAATTAATTACTTCTTGATCTAGTTTATCTTAATTGGTTATATCAAAGAAGTTGGAGTCTTCCTTCAAAAATAGATGTTTTGATGCCTTAGAAGCATTCTGATTAACTTTGACAACTTAAGGTAGCACTGAGCAGAAAAAGACAATGTACAGGACATGTTTGCGCTATGATTCTGAGAACCTCAATATTCTGGCGCCTTGATTTCCTTGGGAATGAGCCTCGTATTCTAACAGTGAATTACAGCAGATCTCCACCAAAACTGTCAACCGTATTTTAGATTCATTGAAGTACTCAAGTACAGTACTTTTTACTCAAGTACCACGCGCGCCTTGGTTTTCAGTTACCAATATTCTAACTTGAAAAGCTATGCTGGGTAAAAATCTGAATTCAAGACATTTTACAAATCGAATCCAAAGGTAATATTTTTGGTTCAAGCAAATCATTGAATATTTAACGAAGATGTCTATGAAAAAATATCGAAATTATAAAATATTATAAAATATCGAAATTATAAAATATCGAAAATATCGAAATTGGGGATAAAATTCCCCCCCCCCTTTTTTTACAAATGTGACTTGAAAATTTGTGCCTGACTGAAAACGCGGACCTCGTTTCTTTACTAATTTCTCGAGAAAAAGTGCCCGAGGAATCAGGCCCAACTTTTGGACGAAAAAAGCAGCACCAATTTATGGAATGCTCGATTTAAACCCACTTTCTCAAAACTACTTTCCCCTCAGGCACCACATTTCAACAGTACTGTACTGAACTGTAATTTTCAGCTGTCAGTCAACTCACACAAAAAGTATCAAAATTAAAGGAAACTCGTAGAAGATGCTAAATTTGGTCCTTAACGCTGTTTCATGTGATCTCATCCTGGTTCATCAGGCTGAAAAAAACAAACAGGCAAATCATAAAATCGGAACCTCATTTCCGGATTTCCTAATCGATTAATCTATGCGTTTCTCTCTTCGACTATACGCATAAATCGACAAGAAGTTGCTGAAAATGGACATAATATAACGGTTCGTACGTGACAGACATTTCCTTCCAGAGATCAGATGCGATTCGGTTTCAGGTGACCCCGGTATATACAGTAACAAGCTTTTTTTTTCTTCATTATGAAGAAATGTAGCATTTTGAAACACCATCGGCGCTTTTCTTCAACGATGGTTTCTATTCCTCATCAGGTTAAATCTGGTGAGGTAGGCATTGTAGTTCTTTTTTTTCTTTTCTTCAGAAATTCCTCCGTTGGTGCATGAAGATGAAAAGTTGAGCCTCTTCAACTTCCTGTTCTTTTTTTTTTTTGAAGACAGTTTTGAAAAGTTTTGAGTGCTGGGAATTTAAATGACAACGGCCCGCATTGTTGCGTCTTTTAATATAAAACTTCAACAAATTGAAAAGGGACAAACTTCTTTGGCCTTTTCGTGGTAACCCCCAGTGTGATTCATTCATCACCGATACAAGAAAATTAAAATAAATCGATCTCAACCATTTTTCTATCCTCTATTCTCACGTCGATTCTGCTACAGTTGTCCTAGACTCCTAGAGGCTGGAAAAAAAGGCTCGCAAATTTCGTAACGATTTCAATTTTCCTATACTGTATTTCCTTTCGTGCCAGCCACGCGTCCGTGTACAAAGCAACTTAAACCCGCTATTTTTATTCGCGCCAAAAACTTGACCCCCCCCCCCCGTGTTAAACGAAATTTTCATATTTATTTGTTTATAATTAGCCCAAATAGGACGACATAACTTTCGGACTTTCAGGTTAATGGACAAGTACTCAATCGGAGCACAATTTTATTGTGAGAATCGAGTATTAACCTCGGGAAAAATATAGAACGCTGATTGAAGATCTGTTTCCGCCATCAAGGTTATGCACCGCATCCGTTTTTTTTTTCATCTCTATTCATGAATTATTATGCAAGAATAAACGTTAAATACAATAATCAGGTTTATTTCTAATCCAACCACGAACTATTGTGTAATACTCGTATTCAAATATTCTCTGGGCGGAGTAAAAGTTCGTGGGTCACCCTCTAATTGAGAAAATAAATACCCAAAAAAATGTGACTCTGTGCTTTGCCAATAGCATTGAAACAGTATTAAAGAAAGAAACAGTAACCAAAAACACGGCCCCATTTTCGCAACATTTGAACCGCTTTATTGCGTCTCTTATCCCGAAAATTCGAATTGATCAACGAAAAAATACGACGCATACAAACTCGCACTTGGAAAATATGTAACCCATTTCTCAGATTTCACGGAAGTTCAACGTGATACGGAATGAACGAACAATTCCGAATTCGTGCGGGTCTCGTTTTTTTTTTCAGATTCTGTGGCAAACAAAAGGTAGAAAACGTAACAAATCGAAGAGATCCCGACACAAAAATATAGAAGAATACGTCGAACATTTGACAGAAGGGAGCAGAAAAACAAACGAATTCCAAACGATACAATTTCATCGACTCGTAGTCGTAAAATGCGTTCAGTGAAACAAATTTTCAATGAGACTGAATTTTATGGCCCCAATGGCATTGAAAGACTGAACAAAATACCGACGAAATAAAGCGTTGATAATCACAATGGCCCTTCGAATTTCACTTCTGCCAGCTGTTTGCAACCCTGGTGGGGTTTCAGAAACGATACATTTCATCGTGAAAAATAGTGTGTCCCCGCGGTAAAAAAAAAAAAAAAATAATAATCTGCTCCACGATGAGGTTTTACGCCAAAAGTTGCAAGAAATCAATATTTAGCCTTTAGCGTTTTCACCCAATTTTCAACCTGAAAACATTTTATTCTTTCCACGAAAAGTCCCTACTAAAACATCGAGAACTTGTGCGCTTGAGCAAGTTATGAGAATGAAATCGGTCTATTCATTTATTTTCTTCTTGTAGCATCAAGTTGAAGGAATTCTATCCGTTGGGATAATACACTAATATTAATAAGATGATATTATAATATCATAGTAGTCCTATCAAACTTCCAACTTTCTGGAAATCATGAATTTCGAAGGCAAGGGAAGGAAACACATTTCGTTGTTTCGCGCGATTGAAACATTTTCTGAAGAATTGCACACACATTTTCTGAAATTGTATGCAGATGACATTCTTTTGTGAAACAATGGTATTACTCAGGTCATAAATTATCCTTAACCATAACTTATATTTCTTTTTCCAGTTTTTCGCACGTTTTTTTTTTTTTTTTTTTTTTTTTTTTTTTTTTTTTTTTTGCTGACCTAGGACCCACTTGAAAAACGAAGCTAAGGTCAAACAAACTTCTCAAAAAACAAAACAAAAATAACCCACACAATCGGTAGCGAACAAGACCGAATCAATTGAATTCAGAACAAACGACCGTCAATGTCCGAGTTTCAGCACGTGCTTCTGCAAGTTGATCGCTCGGGTGTAATCATTTTTGCAAATCGGGCAAAAGAACGGCTTAACACCAACGTGCTGCTCGTTGAAGTGGCGAAGGATGCCGCGACTGGTAGTCGCGTGGCCCCAGCACAGAGTGCAGAAGAACAAAACCCGTCCGGGGTCGGAGGTCAGTTGACCTCGAATGACACGATGTCCAGGAACCCACAAAAACGTGAACTGCTCGAAGACAACAACAGCAAAAAGATAAAAAAAATAAAGAGCGTCTGCAGTCGATCAGAACGGTTTAATGCCAACGTGATGCTGGCTGAAGTGGTCATGGATGCCACGATAGACACACGAGTGGGCCCAGCACACGGTGCAGAAGAACACAACGCGTCCGGGATCGGAGGGCTCTTCACTCCGAATGATTCGTTGTCCAGGTACCCAAAACAATTTGCACTGCTCGAAGACAACAAAAAGAGCCCCAAGTTGGTCTATTTCTTTTTTTAAACTCACGAATACAATTACAGTGAGACCCCGAAATGCGGACGTAATTGGTGCATCAAGAGTGTCCCTAAGTTGAAATGGAGGAAGTCCCTAAGGAAGTCCCTCTCTGCTGGAGGTACTTTTTTTAAATCAGCTAAATGGATGGTAAATTGGTGAGAAAAATGCCCAAGAACTTTTCTTACATCAATTTTAGGGTTGGAATTATCTGATTCTTGTAATTTGGCCTGAAATGTATTTGCAATTTTATAACAAAATGCCCCTATGTCGAGTCAATGTCCTCATGTCGCACCTTTTTCATTAATTTTTTATTTAAAAAATATGTGTCCCTATGTCGAATTATCCGCAGGTCGAGGTGTCCGCATGTGGGGGTCTCCCTGTATTAAGCAGCTAAAAAAAGGCCGATCATTGACTTTAGACGAACATATAAGGCGAAAAAGGACATTCTGCAGTTAGAAATGAGACATTGACACGAATAAAAACAGGAATTGCTTAATTTTTCAGAAAAAGAGGTTCGCAAAATCAGAAGATTAAGCCACCGAAAATCAACTAAATAATCAAGAGAAAAAGACGCTCGTTGAATTTCTTTCAAAAGGTATGATTTTCGGTACACGACTCCGATGAATAAAAATTCCCGAGCAGTTCTCCGGGGAAGACAAACGCATTAGACTGACATTACTGTATCTGAGAAGAAAATCCCCGCCTAAAACACCTGAATAAATTAAACAGTATTACTCATCGTCAGATAACATCAAAAGGTACATTAAAAGAAGAACTTCGATCCCAGATTTCCCACCAAAAACCGTAGAAATAGATTCACCGCTGTCTGGGAAGAGCGAGAAAAAAAAGGAGTCCGAACGGAAGCCAATGCGTATTTTTCAACACGGCGAAATTTTAGACATACAGTATTTATAAATGCTAAATTTCGGAAATGGCAGGCCAAAAACTCGCCGCCATATTTCACGGGAGCGAAATAAATTTTTTCAAACACGAAGTCCACGTTTCATTTTTAAGCAATTTTAGCTCCATCAGTAGAAAGTCACGTCCGTTGAATTCGGATGCTCTTGTCAACCAATTTCTCATCATTCAGTGTAGAACCACGCAATTTTTTTTTCAACAGCTCGCCCATTGAATCCGAATCATTCGAAAAGTATCCCCAATTGTTAGTATATTCGCGATAGGCGATGTACAGTATTAGCACAATACACCTGGAAACGAATAAAATTCCCCGACAGGTGCACACCGCGGAGGGTCGAATAATTCATGAAAAGCTCTGCGCCGCAATCCACGAAGCTTTATTCATTTCCGGCAAAATTCTCAACACTCACAACCTGAACTTCGCAACGGAATTAATTTCAAATGCGATTGATTTCTGTTAATAATAAAGAAACAACGACGGATTTCTGAAAAATTGGTAAATTAGTTTTAGAATTCAAATTCACATATACAGTACAAGTAAACTCCAATGGAATTTCGAAATACCGTAAATAATTGCGCGCGAAACCCAACGGTCGTTTTTAGTATCATCTCAGGCAACATGAAGCAAAATTCGAATCCACAAAACTATGCTTCATGCGCTAAAATATCATGAATTGAAATATGAATCAGGTTCGATCGACTAGTCTGATCACGATCCTGATTTATTTCAAATGATTTTAAGTTAACCAATAGAAAAACTATATCTTCAACACTCTTCGTGCCCTGTTCGTCCCGTTGGTCACGGTGACCATAATATAGGTACAGCATTGAACATCGGAATGCATCACAAATAACCCTCGTGAACTCTTGAAAAGTGATCAAGTGCCAAAATTCATATTCTCAACCCATATTCACTCACTGCCCATTCAGTACTTATGTGGCACACGTGAAGATTCGATTATAAGTATTATATCCTTTTCTTAAGATCAAGAGCAAACGGACTGGATGCCGCTGAATGAACCTTTGACAAGAAATACAACGACCGGCTGAACACAAGCCACGAATCCCGCTGAAAAGAAACAAAAACAACTGAGATAACGCAGACCACGCTTCGTCCGCATGAACACAAAGTGGAAAAAAAACCAACTAGAATACTCTGTTCACCGAACAATTTTTGTCAACAACTTGCGCGACGCACGTGTTTATTTAAAATTATGACAGGAACATAGAGCCGAAATTTTCTGGGAAAAGTCGCCAAACGTCGTCAATGTTTCCAGATGAAATCGCTCTGAAGGGGCTCTTCTTGAGGAACGCGGACGTGACGAAATCGACGATCGAGCGGATAATCCCGGAAATGAATCCGCACGTGACGATCCATGTTGCTTTTTCTTGGAGTAGTGTAATTATTGCACATTATGCATAGATAGTGCCACTTTTCATCAAGAGCATTCTTGACCTTGAGGATATTTGGATGATGTGAACTTTCCACGACAGACCACTGCCGAAAAAAGGAACAAGGATCGTCATTTTCCAAATATAAGCTATGGGATTTCTTTTTTTCATTCTACAAATTCCTACGGAGAAAGCAGCGGAAACCCAGTGATGATGAATCGAGCCTCAGGGAACAGTTGAACGATACATTTTTTCAACCACCCCAATTTTCTGCATGATTTTATTCGAAGTAAAGAAATTGTTTCACAGACCCGGTGAACTTTTGGCAAGAGCTGGTCGTTCGGACGCCTCTTGTTGACGACAAAAAGCTGAAGACTCGAAAATGATAATCTTCGACGACCAAGCGCGTAATAATCGCATGAAACAAGGGATTTCAATGTCCGTCAATTCAATCCAAGAAAACAGACGAACATAATTTCTTTTCATCTCCATTACAGAGTGGCGCAGTATAAAGTCAAGAACCAAACTAAAGATTCAAGAACCTAAACGATTTCTTAGAATTCCATGAAATTCCCTCGCAGACTCCTTATAGAGTAGCTTTTCAACCAACCATTGGTAAGCATACGAGGGGCAGAAAAGTGAAATTGTTGTAGTTTGGCTGACATTTTAAAAAGAGAGTTCAGTAGATGGGATATTTTCGTTGGTAAACACATTTGGCTCCATTTTCAAAATATAGTACAAAAATAGCTTAATTATATTTCTAATGCATTTAGATTTAGAGAAGATATAAAGTTTTATCAAGATGTCAACCAAGTAAAATGTCCGGAATAATCCACAAACGTACCGAAAAAGTCCACGAAGTTTGGATTAAATCTCAGAAGTGAAAGCGTCAACAAGCTTGATTATGATTTAACGAGCGACTCAAATTTTCTTTTTAGTTGAATCTTATACAGTATTTATTTACCCTGGATCATGAGAATAGATTCCGATGATCCATATCAAGGACAACAAGGCCTATGATAATTATGTTTAATTGATTTTCATTCTAAAATGGCAGCCCAACCGCGGAAAAGTGTGTTCTGTACCAATTACCAATTGTTCAAGAGGAGGTACATGACCACATGGATCAAAACGGAGATTTGCAAAATCTGCATCGTTTGGAAGCCCATTACTAGAGCAGAACCCATGAAATTAAAATCTCGATTCCTTTAATCTTTCGTGAACTGTACAAATAAAACCGACACGAAAATATAAAAAATAATAAAACAGTGCCCATAGCTTCATCACATTCGCCGAGAGGTTGAAACAGACAAATGTCGTCAAATATTCTCATACAGTTCTACCAAACGGGTAAACGGACTGCTTCGCCGGCAACAGACTCTTGACGCGTTCATCCTGCAACTTGGCCCTCTGCATCCGCAACTTTTCGCGCATTTGCGGCCAAGTCTGCTCCGCCTTCCGCAGCAAGGCCGCCAAGTCGGGATTGTCAAACTCGGCCGCCAGTGCAGACGGTGTGACGCCGTTGGCGTCCGTTCGCGTCGGATCCGCGCCCTGATGCAGCAACTGGTGTATGACCCAGAGTCGGCCGCCGCGCACGGCGGCGTGCAAACAAGTTTCCCCCGTTTCGGCGTACATGTCGTTCACGTCCGCCCCGGCCTCCATGAGCCGCGCCGCGCACGCCTCGTCGTATTGGCACGCGAATAAGAGCGGGGCGCCGTTGCTCGGGTTCGCGCCAGCTAACGCGAAAATTCATCGTTGATGTCATCACTTGTTTCAAAATTATTTTTCTTATCCAAAGTTTTCCGAAATTCATGTTGACAGCGGAATACACCATAGGACCCGAGTCACATCGACCCCCCTTCGTTCATTTACGGGGATAGGCATAAACGCGGCGTCGAAGTTTTTGAAAGAATTCTTGGAGCTTGAACTAAAATTGCTATTACTGTACAGCAATGTAAACTTCATAATTTTACACGATTCGCCTTCTTGGAGGCTCTGTTCAAAATACATTTTCATCAACACATATAAGCATGATTAATTGATGAAAAAGCTATAATTTTTGGTACTGAAAATTGTGATAAGCATTGATGAATTTTTAATTTCTTATAATTTTACAGCCCCTATTGATAGTACATAATGAAAATGAAAAATAACTATTTAGTTTACTAATAATAATTTATAATAGCTATCATTAAGACAATTAATTAATTTATAAATAACTCATAATTTTTTTTACCAAAAAGCTAATATTTTAAAATAACTATTTACTCTCCCAATAAATAATTTTTAATAGCACGAAAGTACCAGTTTTTTTTATTAGATAATTTAAATATAATGAAATAAAAATAGCCAGTATTCTTACTAATAAAAATGAATAACTCAAAGATTTTGACTAAGCACAATATCGTCGATAAATCCAGCACCAATAAATTCCACACTCCAAGTTTCCCGAAAACGGTTAATTAAATTAGCATATTTCTAAGTTCCAGGGACATTCCCAAGAGCCTCATCTGTTGGTTTCGGACACAGCAACAAAATAAGTCATAACATTATGGACAAATAATCAGAAAATCAATCATCATAGATGCATTTTACGATTTTGGCATGACGTGCTGACACGTCGTCATTGCTCATCAGGGCATCCGGTTCGGAACACCTCACAAAACAATTCATTGGAAATCAGAAGATTCACAAAGAATTAATTGGAGAAATATTTTGAAAATACTGCATCATTTCGGAATCTTGTGGCAAACTCTCGACGTGCACTAGAATAATTAGAACAACTTTCGCGATCCACATAATACCATTATTGTAAAATAAAAATTACAGAAGCCCCCCAAACAAGGTCAGGGCATGGCTTCTAATCGGGAACACGGCGTGTTTCATTGACAAGGAATGTTCCAAAACCAACACGAGCTTCATTAATCCTTAACCATTTCAACTCGCAATGGTTAGACGTCAGTGCAATCAAAAAAACTGACACAAGGGTGCATTCTTTAATTAACAAACTAAAGCAGTTCGAAAAGGGGAATGCTAATACGCGCTAACGAATACTTCGACTTTTACAGAGTCCGAAATTGGCTAGAATGAGAAAGGGTTATAGTGTTAGGGTTAGCTAGAGTTGGAATTTTTTTTAAAACCTCATTGCCTAAAGCTAACCGGAAATTCCATGAGGAAAAAAAAATATTCTGTCCCGCTAAAACTTTCTTCTAAAAAATGAACCTGGAGGAACATATTGAGTCAATTCAGAAGATTAATCCGCTCTGCAACCCTACAAAATCACAATGGCAAAGTTTTGAACACAGGGCGGACGTTGCAAATTATCAATGGGTAATATAATACGATTAATCTTTTGCTATTGCAAAACGGAGCATTCAGATTGCGCTGACTGAACCGTGAATTCGACTCGACATTTTTTATAGCTGCCCTTCACTCACAAATTCCACACTGACGAAAGCTGCAATCCCGCATCTAAACGCTATAATCCTTACCAGATATTGTTCACATTTAATTCCTTCGTCGAAGCACAGTTCAAATGTATCGATATCTCCACGAATTCAAAAAAAATACGGGGGTTTCGTTCTCGACAGTTTCACGAACAAAAAGAAACCCCCCATTTCTTCATAACATAAAAGTATCGCACACGTCTGGCTCCAGTGTATTATTGTTCCAGTTTCCTCCCAGATTAGAAGGCAATAAATACTACAGGTCATTAGGTTACCTCGGATTCCAGCTCCACTTAACGACCACGTGGGAGGGCAAAACGATGCGACCAAAAAAATGAAGGCAGAAAAAAAACTCATTCCAGTCGGGGAAATCGCACCTGCGAGCAACAAATTGACGAGGTCGACATTCCGCTGGAAAGCCGCATAACTCAACGGCGTCCAATACTTGTTGTCGTCAGGCTCGTTCACCACCTGCATAACCAGACCGCCAAATAATCAAGGCATCGAGTTTTTTCTCTCTTATTTCTCCCCCCAAAAAAAAAAATGTTGGGAGCGATAATCAGGAGGACACGCATGAAGAAGCCTCCGATCTACCTTGCCAATTAGCCCCCTTCCCTCTCGGACATTAGTATCCATAGCCTTCATCTGGTCACATCAGCATTTTTATTGCCCTACTTGGCTTCTGCCAGTGAATACTGGCTGAGCCGCCACTTAAACTACGCCTTCATTCCGATACAAACACGGGATCCAATTATACGATGACACGCAAGGCAATCGGATGAATATAATTGCGATACGTGGCAAGGTCTCTTTGCTGATTCGGTGGGAAAGCTAGAGAAAACTGAGGAAGTCTCGGGAGGGTTTACCATCAAACGAATTCCTGATCCAACGAATATAAAACAGAAACAACGTAGCTGCTCACAATGCCGCGTGGCCAAACTTAAGCTAATAAAATGCTAATGAGAAAAGCAAAAAAAAAAATCGGGCCGTGAACAGATTTTTCTTCACAGGATTTATCACTTGTCATCGCCAAGAAACATTTGGTTTGTTCAAAGAAGAATCCGATAAAATTTAATACCGGGAACAGATTCAAAAGGAAAAAAAACAACTCGTGAATGGAAACGAGAACTCTTTTTTAAAATCATCTTCCCCAAGAATTTCGAATCGTGCCACTTCAGAACATCATGCGAGAACAAAAAATCATTTACTGTATAATCGCAAGTTTACATGGATTCATCGATTCTGTTCATAGCAATAAAACTAAAAATAACCCAATGTGGTTCAAGACGGCGATTCGTTCAAGCTTCGTCATACAAAAGGTCGGCTAGTTCGAACAATTTCATCGAAACGCCGGGGAAGTTGGAAAACGAACGTTGAAATTCAACGAACCATAACCTAGATACATTCTTCATTAAGCTGAAATATAAATTCTCCACACTATGATCGCACACTAAACGAAATTCTTATATAAATGACCGAGGGTTTGAGAATAAATTTAGCACACGATCGGAGTGGAGAGGATTGAACTCGTAACCTTATTTTCTTCTCAAACCAAGTTTTAATCCCAAATTATTTACAATAAAAAATAATTTTGGACAACGAGCAGAGTGAACGGAAAATTTATATTGTAACCCCAACCCGTGAACAGAAAATCTCGAAAAAATATAAATTATTTACCGTAACATGAATGAGTTTTGCCATAAAATAATAAAATAAGTGGGAACCCAAAGAAAATATATTCCCAAAAAGCGAATTTTCAAGAGTTTAGATGAAAATTAGAGGATCATCACCCGATTTAAATGAGTACAAACAAGAAGTTCTTGCAGCTTAAGATGTAAGTACTGTACTTACAGGTCAATACATATTACAGTATTAATTATTAATATAATGAAGGTTCTTTTCCAAAATTTATTATTCCTAATGAAGGAAGGAAATGGAACACTTATAAGAATTCCAGGGAGTCATGGACGATATGCGAACCTTTGAAGGGCGGATACCAACAAACCATAGTATCTGGGACACACACACACAAAAAAAAAAAAAGAGGCGAACCCAAATAAAAAATCAAAATTACGTAAAACCTTATTAAACCCCGCGTCAAGAATTTTCTCAACGAGCTCAACGTCATCCGATTGCACAGCGAGATGCAGCAAATTCTTCCCGTCCACAACTTTCTTCTCAAGGAAACTCGGGTTCTGTCTCACGAACTCATAAAGCCCCACGTCCTCGCAAACGAATTTGCCAATGAGCACAGCGATCCTTTCAGCGGCATGAGCAGCCATCCTACACACACACACGTGATTTACCGCCGGGGTGGGAATAATTATATCGTTTAACGCGAAGGGATTAATTAATCGATCGAGAGCACACACACGCAAGGAAGGGCAACCAACGTCAGCACGGGCGGCATTTCCGCCGAGACTACTTCCGCAGGTTTTCTTACGCCTCGTTCGGCACTTGGAAGGTCCCTCAAAGTCGAGGACTTCGCCTTTGATTTTATCGTCCCCCAAATGCCAACGATGACTTACCCACGGCAATCGATGCGGTTAATTCGGCTCATGAAAACCGAGGCCTCGGCAAAGTTCCGGCGCCGTCGATAAATTCCCAAAAACCATGCCATAAATTATGAGTAGGTACGTCGCAGTGCAGGATATCCAAAAACGCTTCGAACCCATTATTCAACAAGGCCGAATTTCTGGGTAAAACGTTACGAGTACCTTTTTTTTATTTTAAACGCATAACCCTTTCACACACCACTAGAGAAATATCTACAGTACTATGATTTCCTTAAACCTCTTGCAGACACGAGCAGTGATCAGATTTCAAGCAGCTTCTTATTCGGATTGGAATCCGCTACTACTGAATTCGGATACAGTGCAGTTTTCCTCAATTCATCGTAATTGAGGAAGGTAGATGAGGCAACATACATAGATACAGTACACAAAAGAAGGAAATATATTTTGAAACTACGAACAGATTAGGTCAGCACGTTTCCTTCCTCAGGAAATTCTTCTCAAACCTTCCGAGGAAAGCGATGAAAAACGTGAATTTAAAACTCGTTCCTCTCACTCACGGTACCAAACGAAACTGGGTTCACGCGAAACCAGATGAACCCTTGAAAGCACTAATCCGAAAATAAGCGCCAAACAATATAATAAATTTGAATGGCAGGGCAAAAAAACAGAAACTTCAAAGTAGCAGATTGGAGGTTTTAGTACCGGTATGTAAGAATTGAAGGAGCAACGACTTCTAGCTTGAGTTTGGCTTCTCTACATTTAAAGTTCGTTATTGTTCAATTTTGAAAAAGAAAAAAAAAGACTTGACATGTTCCAGAAGCATATTACAGTTGAACCTCAGTAAGTCGAATTTCTAGGGACCACGGGGAAACATCGACTTAGGGAGGTTTTGATTTTTGCAGGTTTTGAATTAAGGAAACAATAATTCTTGCTGTGAGGATTAGCAACAAAAAAATCGCAGGAAATTGTAAATGAGGAGATTCTGGGCCTAAACTTGCCTCTTGATGAGTTTACACCTTGCTGAACTTGGAGGCAGGGGTTCATTTGCTACATTTTTCTTTCAAATCCTTTCAAGATGCATCAAATGATTTGTTTTAATCATTTTCTCTTTCATATTTCAAGGAAATAATAACCAGAAGGCCTCAGAAAATTCGACTTATAATTCGTGTTATAAAAAGAATTCGAGTTACGGAGGTTTTCAATGTATTGATTCTAAGGGAATTCAGACAGGGACTTAAAGAAAATTCGACTTAAGGAGGAATTTGACTTCGAGAGGTTCAACTTATCGAGGTTCACCTGTATACTAAAAGACTCAAAGAAGTTTTGCTTATTGAATAAAGAAGAAACAGAGAATTCCGACGCCAATTGACAACCTCGACAAGGTTGAGAATCTCGCGCCACTTTAGTAGTAATCCAGACGTTTTTCCCCCCTCCCTTCAAGGTCAATTTTCGTGGACCATAAGAATAATGTTCTAGTCGAAAGGACTTACAGATGCTCATAAGAACTTGGATCATTTATTCGAATTATATTTTCGAAAGGTGCTCGTGAGCGGTTCACCTTCCAGGAATGAGCTTCATTTTATATTCGTTGAACAGATCAACGGAAGGAGATACAGCTTCTCATCAAGCACGTTTGTTATTCCCACTAACAATGAACCCCGTATCGTCAATATATCTGACAACGAAAACAGCTGATAGGGTTCGAACTGAGAGAGTTACTTCTTGCGTCTTTATTTTTCAAGGATTGTCCTTCTCTTTTGAAGTGTCCATCAGGAGGAGATGGGTGTAGTTTTTTTTAACGAGTGGCAATATTAAATTAACATTTTTTTTCTACCCCTGTTATAATCTTTAGTCGCTCAAGCTCCAGGAGAATCGCATCCATCGATTAACAGTCAACATTCCGGATTTGCACGCGATAAACTCGCAAGTACTGGAATGTAAGAACAAAAGCTGCCGTTTCTTCGAAGCATCCCGACGATCTTCATATCTTTATTTATTCGTTAAGTCCCTCGAAGGTCTTTAGCTCTATTAGACGTGACGTTATGAACCAGCAACAATCTTTTTACTCAGATTTTAGGTCCTTCGCCCTCAGGCTCCGCAATGTCAACGAATAACCGTAAAAATTCAGATGCTACAGATGTTTGGGCAGTTGAAAAATCGAACTCGTTTGGAAACTTATGAATTGCTCATTAAACCAAGTTGCTAAATGAAGAGACCGCGGAAAAAAGTCAGCGGCAGAAAAAAAAAAAAAAAAAACCCAGATCACAATCTCTCAAGTATCACTCGCTACGAAGAACTCGTTCAGGCCAAGGTTTCCCCGGTAATTTTGAAGAATAAAAAACGTGTAACAACTCGAATTTCATCAAGATATGCAAGGTCGCGAAGACGCGACATTTTTTCGCTGGACGATTAACTTGTTACGATTTATGACACGACCTGATCCATAAATACAACTCCACGAGAAGCATTTTCGTTCGCCACACAGGGTTGCGAAGCACATACTGGCCTACTGAGGCAGCCCAGTGCGTCTGCTAATTTTTTTACATTGTTGTTAGCTATTTTACTGCTTTGCAGCGTTTAAAAATCCGACTTCTTTGAAAAAAATTAGCAAGGGATGCTTCATTAGAATGCTTTTCAGCAGCACGCAAGTTTGATCAGATGCATATTGACGTTCCTTGACACACTCCGGACCTTACACAAGACTATCAGTGATCTCTATGGTATTTAGAAAAATTTTTTTTTGATAAAGCAGAAATTTAACCCCTTGAGTTACGCATTCGAATTGGCACTGCTTGTAATTCTCGGATGATAAAATGTCAGTCACACGTATAAGGCAAATTCACTTGCCTGGAAAATTCAGGAAGTTTGCATGCGGATGTTTCACAAAAATAAATAGAAGTAGGCTGACCTGAACAGCTGTGACGTGAGGCACAAACAATTCACCGGAAAAAAATGTACTCAAGGAAGACACACAATTTGGTAGTGAAAACTTGTCTGTAGATCGAGGAGATAGTTCCAGAAATATATATTTTATTATACATTACAGATACTGGTTTCAAATATCCATGACTCAAATGATTAAAAACCTTGGTCATAATACTGCTTGAGGCCCCATGTTTCACAGCAGGTGTGTCCCAACGCTTCGTGTATGACCGGATGACTCCGTCGGGTCACGCAGACGATTAAAAAAATGTAACAACAATCGATAAAATGACGAAACGTCGCAAATTTTTAGGCTGAAGAAACTTTTTTTAGCAAGGGATGCTTCATTAGAATGCTTTTCAGCAGCACGCAAATTTGATCTGATGCATATTGACATTCCTTGACACACTCCGGACCTTGCACAAGACGATCAGTGATCTCTATGGTATTTCAAAAAAAAATGTTGATAACGCAGAAATTTAACACCTTGAGTTACGAATTCGCATTGGCACTGCTTGTAATTTTTGGATGATAAAATGTCAGTCACTAAGGCAAATTCATTTGCCTAGAAAATTCAGGAAGTTTGCATGCGGATGTTTCACAAAAATCTCATTTTCAAATACCCTCCACATTTCAAAGAAATAAAAGTAGGCTGACCTAAACAGCTGTGACGTGAGGCATAAACAATTCACCGAAAAAAATTTTTACGCAAGTAACAACACACAACATGGTAGTGAAAACTTGTCTGTAGATCGAGGAGATAGTTCCAGAAATATATATTTTATTATACATTACAGATACTGGTTTCAAATATCCATGACTCAAATGATTAAAAACCTTGGTCATAATACTGCTTGAGGCCCCATGTTTCACAGCAAGCATATCATTTCAATTTTCAATTTTTTCTTGCAATAAGGGGATGATAATTTCTGATAAATTTGGCTAAGAAACTGCTTCACTTCTTTTTGCCCATGGCATACTTCTTGGTCCATTTAACAGCCTCCTTGTTGAAGGCCTTCCTGTTCTTCTTGAACTGTTTAGCTATACTAGGCACCAGGGGATCATCTGGATTTGGATCGGACATCAGTGATGATAGCGATAGTAAGACTTTTGATATAGTCAATGCTGGTGACCACTGCTTCTTGAGAATATCCAGACAAATCTCCCCTTTACTGTTCACATTTGGATGATAAATCTTGGTGATGAACTCGATCTTTGGGGGCTTGAATGGGTAATCAGAGGGAAACTTGATGTCGAAGTAGAAAGTGCCTCCCGCGTATGGCGTGCCTTTTGGGAAAATCGAAAATATTTCATCGATACAATAAAAAACCTTTTAATTTATTTTATTAAAATATTATTCCAGCAAACCCCATAAGATAACTTGGGAAAAACTTCGCATGACTAATTTAGCTGAATTGTTCGCAGCACCTTTTGTTGCTCAAGATGAACTACAACCATGAGACTTGAATAACTTTGGAAATTCAACAAACATTTCCTAAGAATCAAGTTTCACATTCCCACAGAGAAACTGCGCTGATATAATAAAGAATTTTAAAAATTCAACGAAGTACAACGTATATTATTAGAATACATGACGGCGCCCCTCAGACTTAGAAAACGTGGACTCAAATGCATTAGCTTTTTGAAATTTCAATTTTCCAATTCAAGTCTCAAGTAATCTTGGGACAAACTCCTATTTCGATCATACATAATATTTAAATACATTCTCACTTGAATTAGAAAATGTAGTTCATAAATTACTGCATGTACGTTCATGTAAAATAGCAAACTCAAATCTACCAGGTCAGCTAGAAACATAAAAAAAAAGTGAAGTCTATGAAATGTGACACAGAAGTACAGCGACTGTCTTGCATTATTTCCAGGTCAGAACTTTTTTTATTGGAAATGAAATATTAAAAGACTGGTTATCATCTAAAATACATTACACAATTTAATATGAAGATTCTCTTCTCAGAGTGAAAATAGTAACATGTAAATTATTAAGAAACACAAGTGATATTTGAAAATTTTAATTTCAGGGAAAAAAAACCGAAGGTCTTGCCAGATGGTCCCTTGACACTGGCTTTCCAGTGCAACAGATTGTCTCCCACTGGATTGGCTTCAATGCCAGCAATGGGCTCCTTCCTGAACTTGGACAATTCCTTGTTGACTCGCTTCAAAGCCATGTTTGCTCACCATATAAACACAGCAGAAATTGACACTAAATTTTGTCTCAAAAAGGAATAAGAATTTTTCAAGAAATTAAAAATTAAGTTCAGAACTTATCATTGGGGTCTATGATGGTGCAGAAACTGGAGTGAAAATTGTTCCAACCTTCATCAATTCCCTTATTCTTCCTCGCAGCTGTTCGCGGCTTTCTCTTCATCAAAGTGATATCAATCAGTGGCAACATTCTGCAGACTTGAAATTTTCCTTAAGATGCAGGTAATCATGAACAAATCAAATGAGAAAAAAATGTTACACGAACCATTCTGCACAGCAACTTCGTGCATGCAATGCTAACTCCATCTGCTGAAGAAAACACTAATCATAACTTTCGAGTAGAGAAGAAGTCCTATTCTACATTTTCCCTTGAATTAATTAACTTGAAAACCTATAAATTAAATTAGAATTAAACTTTCACTTTAATTTCTTCCGAGAACAAGAATATCAAGAAAAAGTAAAAAAATCATGAAAATGTTCTCAGACACATAAGCAATAAACTATCACAGAACTATCACTGGGTCAGATAACAGGAACTTCGATCCAAGTTTCCTATGTGGGTGTCCTGAGGGAAACGGATGAAGCCAATAATGCTCCAAGATATTAGGAAAAATAGAATTTCATCAGAACTTCCTTCTTCTATTTATTTTGGCTGCTACCAATAGCAGAAGAAGATTGCTTTTACACAAAAAAAAGTTGCTAGAAAAGAAAAAGGTTGTTGCAAAATAAGTGGGAAACGTTCATCAGCTGTGCTGCATTCAGGAATCCTAGCACAGTATAATTTAGGTCGATTTTTTGATCTCAAGAAGTCAACTAAACAGAGTTCACAGAAAAGTTGTCATAGGCTCAGAAAAACCCCCGATCAAACAACTGGTGTCAAACACAAGATATGACTGGCTTCACCCGCGACATCTCTTCTGCTAAGGCATTATATTGCTATTGAATATTATTCTGCGATAAAAAGGGGTTTTTTCCCTGTGGAAAAATTGCAAGACCAGAATGAACCTATCCTTTCCTTCAAAGACTTCTTTACTCTTGGGGGCTCCGGAGTTGTCTTGCCAAGCCTCAAAACCAAATATTTGTGAGATTCTCCGATTTTTTCAGGCATGGAATGTTTTCAATCATGAGCTTAGCCCATTTAAAAAAAGGCTCGTTAGAAATTTGTGATGATTATCATGTGAATTTTTTCTGCAACACCAAGTACCCGGAGATATTCAGAAGTCGAAAAACCCATCGATAATTTCATCCTTGCCAACCCTGTATATACAGTACACCTACTTCCCAAAATAATTCTCTGAACAAGTATTCAGGCATTTTCACGGTATTCTGCATAACAATCCAAAGCGACAATCCCAACTGCTCCCATATGCAATGCCTCCCTCCGCCCAGGCCTGACCCAACCGGAAAGAATGTCACGTCTTCCTTCCGCACGCACAATCAGACTCGTCCGTGCAGAAGAAGGAGAAAACGAAACTTATCTTCGGGTCCTATCCCCCCCGTGTCTAGGTATGAAATTGGCACGCCGAAGTCGTCAGTGTCGCGAGCTAGAGCGTGGGAAGCAGGGTGGACAAGGCACCCCAAGAGTGGGGGGAGAGGGTGATGACGCAACAAACCCCGAGTGGCGGCGGCGGCGGCGCGGAGGACCCGAGGCGCGGCCGGGGAGGTCACGTCGCTTGTTAATATCTCCCCAAAACCCGACCCGACGCCGCCCCACTTCTAATCGCCCCCTTCCGGCGTCGACACGCGCGCCTCGGCTTCATTTTCTTTTCACCCGCCACCGGAAAGAAAAAAGAATGAGAGAGAGAGCGGGAGATACACACGTTTTTCCGACTATTTTTTCGGTCGTCCCATACCCCTCAACAGTTTCGCTTCGGGAGCATTTACAACTCAAACGTGCTTCGCGACTCGCGTGTCAAAAACCTCACTTCGGGTTGGTGGAAGTACAGTACAGTACAGGGTGATTTTCGCGGTGCTAGACAAGCAATATTTCGGAAATCTCCCAGAGTTGGGATGATATAATTTTGCAATTTGTGTCGAATAAAGATTGGGCAAAGTGAAAGAAGAGGGTGGTGGCATGGTGGCAAGTTTTCATACCATCCGAGAACTATTGAAAAAAGTTTGACACCATCAAGATAACAGCGAGTGTGCAGCGCATGAAGAGAGAGAAAAAAAGTTTGACACCATCAAGATAACAGTAATTTCAACGCAATTAATTCACAACTGATTCACAAACGTATTTTCTCCTTTCATTTAATCAACACGCCAATCTTTGCTCCGAAGATTCCACTCAAATCCTCTCTTTCTCAGGGTGCCAATTTAAAATGCAGGAAAAAACTGAGAAAATTATTTCGTCTGCCATGCGCCTGTGCGGATAATACTCCAGGCTTTTTCCTCAATTTTTCACACCGTCGCGCCTCCAATTGACACGAGTCAAGATTTTCATGAACAGCCTCATTGTTTGACATATTTATGGACCAATGAGCGCGTAAAATCACCCTGTCGTTCCTTTTCCACCTATTCTGATTTCAAACCAGGTCTCTTTCCGCAGTTCGCAACTAGTGAATTTTCAGAAAAGTCGTCAATCGGCCAGTTTACACCGCTGCCAGCTGAGAGATTTACATCGATCGGTGAGTACTTCCAGAATTATTTCTTTGAGTCATTACAAAAACCCATTAAATGGCGATAGAAAAACGCGTGCTTTCACCAAGCGCCTTAAAAACAAGTGTAGTAGAATAAAATGTGCGGTTTATCGGTCGAAAAAAATTGTTCGAGCGTGTTTCTGCATCGGATAAGAGATTAGATTTAACGCGCAGTGTTTTCAGTTTGAGTGACAAAATTAAATGACCAAGAATAATTTGCGTGTAAAACGCGTCGTAAATGCTACATTAAATTGGATACGACCGAAAACGCAGTTTCTATTCCTACACCTAACTGTGTGTATATAACAGAGAATGACTGAATTATCGGTAAAATAATCTTTTAGTGGTGAAATTTACGAAAAGGAAACTTTTGGTAATTATGCCCTCAAAAACACCTTTGTGTTCATTTCTGCACGTCTAAAAATTCGGAGGTAACTAACATCGGAACAATTTCAGACACATTATTACTAAAGAAAAAAAATGTATCAAATATTACATTTTAGGGTTTCAAAAGTGCTCTTGAAAAATTGAACACCAAAAATAGATATGATCATCGAATACGTGAGTCATTCAACGGAATCGTTTCCAGAATTGGAAATGATCTTCGACGTTGGAAATGACTCGTCTTTCAAAATTCAGAACCGCTTTCACGTCAAATTTGCATTCAAGATTGTAACTTTTTTTTCGATCAGCAACGATCAGCGTATAACACTGCATCTACATTTTTGTTTTCTGAACAACTTCGATGCAGTGTTGAATGACAGCATTGTTTCTGGTGCGTTCAATCAGATGTGGATTTTTTCAGATGCACAATTAATTTTCGAAAAAAATTCGCCTTGAACTACTTTTGTACGTTGAAAAACTGCCGACTTCCGAGTCGTGCCAATGCACATGATGCTTATCTCGTGGCTTCAGGATTTTAGAGAATTAAAGTAATTCAAAAGCTCGCGCACAACAAGAGCTTCATTTTGAAGCGACTCGAAAATTCGTTCACGATTGATCAGAAACTAATAATAAAAAAGCGCATTTTCGCCTGAAAAGTTTCGCATTCAGTCCACGATGTGAAAGAAGAGAAACAAATTCTCATTTTACTGACATTCAGTAATTTCACTCAGCAAATACAGGAAAGCAGAGCAATCCAACAATGAATTCGGCATTTACGTCAAACTCAATGACAGTTCAAAGGATATTGCTCCTCAATTTCATCATCGTGGATTTGAAAAAAAAAATTTCTCCATACGTCTTCCCGAGTAAATTGTGGGGGGAAAAGACCATTCACACATTGTATTGTTGTTCACTAGCCTTCCTCTTCGCCCTACTGACATCAATTGTACATTATTCACAATACAGGAAGGAATTAAAAGATACTACTTGACATGTTTTCGGGAAGTTAACGTTGTTAAATACACAGACAAAAAAGTCGGTGAGAGGTTCGCTCACCATCTTCAAAACGTTTGGCGTCAATTAGTTGTTGACAGCCATAGTTGTGAAACTCGCAGCAAGCTATCGACAAGTAAATTGATGAATGCGAAAATTATGTTCTTCGGAAAAAAAATATGCACCAGAGCTTCTGTGTGGTTTCGATCAGTTATCCATAGTACTTGAATTGAAACGTAACATATAATTTTTAAAATTTAAAAAATGCATGACATAAGGCATTCCAATTATCCTAGAAAGCATTAGTAACTATGAAAATCCTCCTTTTATACACAGTACAGTACAGTATTTCGAAATAGAAATACACGAAAGCGTAAGATTTCGCATTTGAGTTGTGGATCCACGGGGATTAAAAATTTCATGAAAATAGCCAGAGCCAAATTTATTTTTAAAAATTATTCACAAATTAGCGAAGAAATTTCCAATGAAGTTGAAATTGAACTTCTCGAAATCGGATCCCTTGCAACTCAGTAATTATAAAAATCGAATACGAATTTATCGGTTCATCCCGCAAAAATTAGATTCACAACAATCAGGACTTATGTGTACAAGTTTAAACGGTGTCGTATAGAAATTTTCATTCAAAAATAAAAATTCGCTGGCAACTACTGCACAGAAAAATGAAAATAATTGTCTTGATCGAGAAAATGATAAACTTTTTGCTAGCGTCCTACACGCTTTGCAAAACAAATCAGACGAGCACAAATTTCCTCAATAAATTTCAGCATTCCCCAATTTGCACTGCGACGAAGCTTCAGCACTTCGGGGGTTTGGAAATCCCAGCAATATAGGACTAAAAAAAAACATCTTCCCAGATTAATTGCGTCCAGAATCAGTACCGAAATATTTTCTCACGGTAACGGGAAATTCGTCAGTTACACTGAGCAATTTGTTCCCCGAAAGAATCATGGCCCGGCTGATTCTCATTCCTGGAAGTGTGCTGATTAGGCGAGAACCCAATATATCACAAGAGCCCTCGTATTTCACTGACAGAGAACTTTCAGACAAATTTCACATCCAATTGTCGGATACGCTCAAACTTTCATATCATAAACTTGTACAGTATATTGATTCGAGAATCGGTTTTAAATGGCCCGCTCGTTCGCGGCGAAAG